GAGACTCGAACCGACATGGTCCGTTGTTGGAGAAACGCGGCAATCCAATCAAGCGCGAGGCCTCTGATACCGAAATTGTACAGCTTACGGAGCAGCATTTCGTGGTTCACTCGATCAAACGCTTTGGAGAAGTCCAGGTGAACCACATCAACCGGATCGTCTTTGTCTACTACCTTGATGATGGTTTCAAACACTTAAGAAATTACAAAAGTGAGATTGATGAGATGATAGTTGTTGGGGTTGGAAGGGTCACCACACTTTGGAACAGGAAAAAATAATAGCTTTTTTTCCATGGAGTGGGAAAAGATTTGGGATCGAGTGAAGAACAGAAAAGGTGGCTTAGGACAAGAGTTAACTCCGAGGCACACAATTTCAGGACGATAAGTAGAATACCGTCCGAACCCGGTGGTTTACAAACATCCAAACCGCAAAGAGTTTAGCGAACCTTTCTGGTAGAAAGGAGTAATTGGTTGTGTAGGAGAAGGGTTCAACAGTAGAGACGGCGGCTAAGGTGTAGGTGAAGGTGAATCGGGAAACGAAGACCTCTGCTTTTTCATCGAGGGTTCACAAACAACAGCACCAGAGAAATTGCATATGGGAGGAAAGTTTGAAGAGCAGAAATTATGTGAAAACCGCGTTAGCGAGGTGCCAGAATGATCGGTTACCGTTGGCGGAAGAATCCAAGAGCGCAGCTTTGTGACAAATGAGGCATTCTCTAACTCGCTGTATGGTGAGCAAGCATTTGTCTCTACGGGATGCTGGATTGGGTGAGTAGAGCCAATGACGGAATGCTGAGTTTCTAAAACGTACAGCACGGTTGCATGCATGATTAAACTACTCAGGGGATTGTGAATTTCCAGGTTTGGAAAGGTGGTTGCCTACTATGAAGAACAGTCTCCATGAAGTTTAAAACAGACGTGGAAACATCAGATTTAAAACAACACTCCTTCCAGGGGTANGAAAAGGAAGTGATATAGGACAAGTGAGAGGAAATGGATGTAAGAATGAGGTCAAGCGTGTGGGCACGGTCACCAATACGATCGGAGATGCGTGTGGAGAGGTCGACGTGCCAATGTGTTACACTGGTGTATTCGGTTAACTCTGGACGTGTCTTACATATAAGATGGGCTGGTTGAACATGGATTCGTAATGGTTTTCATTTATGATTTTCTTTACAAAAGCTGTACGTCACCTTCCTGTGTTCCATTCCGGATCACATGCTAAAAAGTAATGCCACCATTGAGGTCGTGAACACTTTCTGATTTGTTTAAATCTCATCAAAATTTTTTCATTCCTCTCTTTCTCTCCCTCCCTATCCGTTTTACATGGAACGCAAATCAGGACGGAGTGATTGTCCTATCTGCCATCACGCGCTATCGCCAAAAATTCGTTTCCACCGTTCTGTATAAGCCAATATAGACTCCAGTGACCCTGCACTTCTCCCTTTTCGTGTGTAACCCGCCTTCGCTCACATCTGAGATTGCCTTTCGGTTCAAACCTGTTGTCTTTTTCTCGCTCTACCTTGCTCTTTGTCTCGGCCCCAACCGTCTTCTCATATTCTTTCGATCAAACGTGTCTTTCCAAGGCAAACGCTAACCGTGTTGTGTTCAGTCTTTTTATACTTCTGCCAGTGAGCGAGGTGAGCACGGCTTTCTGCGAGCGAGTGATGAAACACAGTGTTACACCCCTTCCCTCTCCACACACACTATGGAACAAGCCAGATTTAACATAGTTTCGTCTCTTTCTCACTCTGTTTATCAGTGGGTACCTGTCTTTGGTATCCCACAGTTCAGGTGATCCTCATTGCCACTGTTTAGCTGTGCAATAGGCCCAACACGTTCAGCCCACACCACGGCATACACCAGTAAACCAAATCTGATCACTGATTTCAGTAGTTTATGTTTTCTGGTTTTCAATAGTCTCATCATTTCTCAACCCACCAGCTCGCATTAAATTCTCACAAGCTCAGTGTGAGTTATTCACACAGTACATTCACGTATCTACTTCTCTGTGTTGTGATCATCCTGTTCTCTGCTCTTATACCCCCACCCCACCCAACCTTGCCCAGCCTCCCCTACCATCCCATCCTGAACACATTCATCTCGGTATGTTTTTTCACCAATCTGTGTTTAGCTCTTCACTCAGTTTACAACCAGAATTTAATTTAATTTCATCGTAACCTGGTTTCCTTCCATCTGCAATTCATTATTATTTTTGTTCACGTGTCATTGCATCGTCCCGTCCCGCCCCGTTCCGTCCCGTCCTGTCTGTTTGTCTTTGAACCCGTCAAACAGTTCAATGCTATCCCTCTACGATCGCCCAACCTTGTTTGGCGTGCGTGTGGTCGCAAACCTATAACCTCAGATCGGATTGTGGCTCTCTCCTTCTCTCTTACTGTATGTTCTGCCCATCTTTTCAACGTGTGCGAAAAATTGTATTCACTCCAGAAAACAACAAGAGCAGGAGAGTAAAACACTGGTTTTGTACACGTATGCAAATCCCTTACTTAAAAACGTATTGCTCCGCACTTTCCTTGTCTTATACCATCCGGGCTTCATTTGACTATATATATATATATATAAATATATATATATTCATATAATATACATATACGCAGTACCTAACAGCAATTCTCTCTGGAGTTATTGACGTGCCAAACAACCCTCATAACAAATAAATAGGTCCTTGATTTGCACCTGTGAAGAATACTGCCTTCAACTGGCCAAAGTCTGATCCACAAGGTAGTGTGTGTGTGTGTGTGTGGTAGGGGGTGTTTAAAAATCACTGTGCACTGGAGGGTAAGAGGGTGTCCAATTCACCAGAGCATACGCCTTTTGGATGAGGTCAAAAGTCTGAGTGATCCAATCCACCTCGATGTCCAGTGATCACTGACGCAATCGAAAAGATTACTGCTACAAATGCAACAGTTATGGCGCTGCCATCACCCTGGACTATCTCTTAAGGGAAGGGTGTACATCGCCGCGGTTCGCAGTGTCCAACTTTACAGTTTCGAGACTCGGGCTCCTCTTCGTTGACGATGCTAATTGACTTTCTGATTGACCATCGATTCCTTTGAAGTATTGCCCACGTCTGCAAGGAACATCGTGGGAGCCATGATGAGGTTCGATGTCTTGTGTTGGGTACCGATAATCATACTCTGATAAGTAATCGCTCTACACCGCCTGCGATGGCTGGGTCATGATTCGCTCATGCCTGTCCATGCTGTGTTTACACATGCTCGTGTAGTATGCAGGACCGAGCCCAGTTCTGAAT